CTTATCATCAAACAGCTTGAGGAAAATGGACTTGTGGAATTTGTGTAATCTTTGCACAAGGGGATAAGAAACAACTTTGATTCCTCTAGATGCATTAAACAGGACCTCTGGGTGAGGCCGCTGCTTATCGTAAAACAGCTTGAGGAGCATGGACTTGTGGAATTTGTGTAATATTTACATATGGGGATTAGAAACAACTTTGATTCCATTAGATGTACTAAACAGGACCTCAGTGAGAGGCCACTGCTTATCATCAAACAGATTGAGGAGCATAGACTCATGGAATTTGTGTAATCTTTACACAAGGGGATAAGAAACAACTTTGATTCCTCTAGATGCATTAAACAGGACCTCTGGGTGAGGTCGCTGCTTATCATAAAACAGCTTGAGGAGTATGGACTTGTGGAATTGGTGTAATCTTTGTACAAGGGGATAAGAAACAACTTTGATTCCAGGGAAGTGTCTTGCATCACTACACTTCAGCTTTACTTGAGGATCCTGCTGGAGGATTCCGCTGGCAGTTCAACCTACAGGGAGTGACGGACTCTCTAAAAGATAAACTACACTTCAGCCTTCCTTCAAGGACCAAGTATCGCGGACCTACCCTATTTCTACCCTCACAGGATTCACATTTCCTCAGGTAGCCAACTTCTTCCAGACAACCTGAGTTCTGGTTCTACCTGGACACCATTTTATTGACATCTTGTCAATACATGCACACACAGTCTGTATTGTTTTAATTCTATATCTATATATATAAAAATCAATGTTTGTGTTTGTTTGTTTGTTTGTATGTCCGGTATACAAATTCGCAGTAGTTCACTAATTCAAACCAAAATTTCCATACATAGGTAAAAAAATACGGGGAAGACGATAGGCTATTTTAAAAATATATAAATCAATTATTAAAAAAAACTATATATTCAAATTATTCTACTTAGCTCACGAACAGCGCCCTCTATCAAAGATTAGATTAAATTATGCTGATGCAAACAAATAGATAATGCTAATAACAAACAATTATTTGAAAAAATCTTATCTAAATATATATAACTCGGGTAGATATGCTCACGGGTCAATCCCGGGGCGAAGCCCGGGTCACCCGTCTAGTATGTTATAAAAATAAAAAATGAATAGAGATTTTCTGCCTGATTTTTGATCATGTTGAGGATTATGGTAATGTAATGCAGTCGTGGTTAAATCTTGAAAGTATGATAATAAAAATAATTTTGATCAGTAATTTAATTGAACTAAAGGAATATATAAAAAAAACATAATTTGATAAAAGTAATGCCTGGCTTAAGGCGAGTAGAATAAGGAAAACAAAAGATTATTTACATAATGTACAAAGATTTGAGCCGGCCATTGGGATAAAACAACAACGAGTTTTTATAGGGGAAGAGTGACCTCTGGCGGTCGATTTAACAGAGTATTTGAATCTATGAAATTATAATTTGAAATAAAATAATATTTTTATATAACATATATATATATACAGTAGAACTTCCCTATAAAGGACAACACCTAATTACAGAGCCAAAGTGGCCTTTAGAGAGAAGTGTCCTCTTACCAGAGAGTTGCTAAATAGTAAAAATGGTAATTTTGCAAATGAAAACTGTCCTTTATGGAGAGGTGTCCACTAAAGGAAGGTTCTAATGTATATACAGTAGAACTACCTCCCTGTAATGGGCATCTAATTGCAGAACCAAAGTGTCCTTTAGGGAAAGGTGTCCTCTAGAGCAAGCGTCCTCTCATGGAAGTTCTACTGTATATGTTATATAAAAAAATATTATTTAATTTAAGATTATAACTTTTAATAAAAACTACTCTGTAAAATCGACCACCAAATGTTGCGGCTTTCCCTATATAAACCTATTGTTGTTGTTTCCTGTTGGCCTGCTCTTTCTGTATATATGTAAATACCCAATATTTTATTTTATTTATATATTCTTCAAGCCTGAGGCAATACTTTTCTCAAATTATGTTTTTTTTATATTTCATAATCTCAATTAAAAAATAAACTAGCAAGTAATGATATAAACTGTTTATTATATTTTTATTGATCAACTGCAATATCATACAATACTCCTCCCGACAAATGTATTATAACAATATGGCCGACAAAAAATGTATCTATAAAGTACATAACATTATGTTTGTTTTTTTTACTATCCTTATAATTACAAGGTAATAAGACCAAATCCAAATAAATAAATAAATAGTGTGTGACGTTTCGATAACAGCGTTGTTACCGAAACGTCACACACTATTTATTTATTTGGATTTGGTCTTATTATCTTGTGTTTTAATCTATAATCCAAATTGTGTCTTATAATTATCCTTATAATTATCCATTATAATCACGGTGGGTAGAAGTTGACGACTGCTTTTACTGTAAGTGCACCTTTTGTCTACACATGTGAAAAGCAATTCGTTTTTTTAACTTAAAAAATGTGTCAGAGCCCCGTTTGGTTACTTGCATTCACTAGTAGGATTAGAATTTTGAAAGAATCAGGGGCCATTGGAGCACTTTTTTTTTATATTAGAAAAAAGTTCCCAATGCAGGATTCGATCCGGGGTTGTAATAGTCGAAAACCTACAATTTAGACCACCCTTCCACTGACCCCCTTATTATATATATATTTTTGTGTTTCTGCCAAGATGATAATGACAGCCCCTCAGCAGAGCTGACTGCTACAAGGCATGTTCCCAGGTGGTGGAACAACCTTCAGATATGAAGGCCAGCTGTGAAACAAGCAGAATAACTCTGACAAATAAGCAGTTGTGGACCCAACAGCAGTATTGTTAGAAAGAGGAGAAAGACCTCTTTAAAAATCCTGAGTTCAACTGTTGATAGACCTCAGCAAGGATCCCACTCCAGGGATACAGAGGTCTGTACTCATGTTAGAGGCAGCAGCAAAGGCTTCCATATTAGGAACGGCCTCAAAATACAGGCAAAGTCAGACTATCACAAAGTGTGCCTGGATCATGGTGCCATGATCAATGAAAGCTGCATGAGATCATGAACTCATGGAATTCGTGTAATCTTTGGGGATAAGAAACAACAACATAATAACAATAAACTGATTGTGTTTTCTAGGCCAGAAGAACTGGACCTGCTACGGACCATCTTCCCAGCAGCCAGAATGGTCGAGATTCCAGGAACCTCCCATTGGATCTACCTCGAGGAACCAGAGGATTTCCTGAATGTCATCTGTCCCTTTATCTCTCAGCATTGATGGTCTCTCAATAGTACCATGACAACATTACACTCATGGACAGAACTTAGGGAAGTTGTACCTTTTAGCATGTATATCGGGATTGAGACAATAACTCTGAAAGATATTACAGTGACCTTAATTGAAGACACACGAGATAACCAATATACACTCATGGACAGAACTTAGGGAAGTTGTACCTTTTAGCATGTATATCGGGATTGAGACAATAACTCTGAAAGATATTACAGTGACCTTTATTGAAGACACACGAGATAACCAATATACACTCATGGACAGAACTT